GGGGGGTTGTGGCGGCGGTCACTACAAACGCCCACGGTCCTGTAACAGCCCTGCCCCTGCCAATGGAGGAGACATCTGCATAGGACTTCACACTGAAGAGGCCCTGTGCAACACACATACCTGTGATGGTAAGGTCACACATAAATTCAAAATTCAATGTAAAACGCTGCTTGGAGTCCTGTCAACACCCCTCCAGGTAGGCAGTCAGCTCCCACACCATGTCATTTCTGTGTTGTCCCCTTACTAAACTGCTTCTCTCTTCGTTTCCTAATGAATAAACCAGGTCTTAGATATACAAGAGATAAGTAGAGTGGTGCTGTGAGAACAGCTAGTCCCCCGGCCATCTTTTCCAGCTGTGCAGCAGGAGGGCTGAGTGCCATCACAGCTTCTGTAAAAAGGTTTAGAGATCCTCTTGTGTTGTACGAGACACATGGAAACCTTGAAGTTTTGAATGCTTGTGTGTGCACAGAGTGCATGTTTCATATGGGTAGTTAAAAGCAAACAGATAACACCTTATCGAGTGTATGTCTAAGTTTCTGGATTTTGGAAAGGACTTGTATAAAAACTGATTTTAAAACTGAACAAACACAAACTTTTTTTCCTCCATGCAGTTTTTATTTTCTGATGTTTCTGTTTCCATCTTCACTGAGGACACCTGACACCAGGTCCACCTGCCAGTGAGGTTTCTTTTCCTACACACTGGTCTACTAACACTTTTTGCTTGCATCAAAATCACTGAAGGTTCATGGATGTTTTTTTTTTGTCATGTGTTGCTCAAAGCACTGAACATTTAGATCAATCTGTGGCCAATCCTGTCTAATCACTTAACTGTAATGTTATCAGAGATGTTGTCATTAATACAATAGGATGTCAATGCAAAAGAAAACAAAAACAGCTTTTAACTTTTGTCAGTGAACTTTGATGGCATTGTTCCAGACCTCCGACCTTGTGTAAATGTCATATGTGCACCTCTAATTGCTATACAAAGTTTGAGTCCCCCTGCCTGAGGCATTCCACAGAACACATTGTCAGCAGTTTCTATCTGTGGCTGTTTCTTCAGTAGAAAACAAACCAAGAGAAAAGCGTTGACTGCTCTGTGGGACGGCGGTACGTTTCCCTGATGTCTTGAATAGTTTTTGAATAGCACACAGGTCTATGACACAGACAAGCTCTTCCAGGACTGACCCACTCATTGACCGTGAGTAGAGGCCAATCATTGTCAGTGTTAGTCTCTGTATGGAGATTGATGAAATACAATGAATATAGAAAATGACTGGCAGGAAAAGCACAAACAGAAATACCACTGGAGGTTAAGTAAGAAAGTCTTTAACCATATATATATAAACTTATCCTCAGTAATATAAGATTAAAAAGTGAGGTGTTCTGATAGTGTTGAGCTTTCTGTCCGTGATCTGGAGGTTAGCCTTGCCCCTAAAGTCTTAAGCCATGTGATGCTGAGATGTGAGATGTAGGCTATAACACACCATGTCCCCTGTCAGCTCCCATTCTGCTCCTACAAGGACACTGAAATATTCATGAGATCTGCATGTTAATCCAGGAGGAGAAAAACAGTCTGGCCCAAACTCTGAAGGCTTCAGCCTGACTCTGATTCTAGGTTTAATAAAACAGCCTTCAATGTTTTGTTTCCACAACGTGATTTTCATCTCCTTATTCATTTTGCTGGAATGGCCTGGACAAATTCATCATCCGAGGTATTTTTATTATGTATGTGAGTGGAGTGATGTCTTGTAGTGCAGATGATTTCTGCCTGAATTAAACAGTTGTTTCCCCTAAACTGTCGTTTCCTCAGCTGCTTTTCACTTTCAATCAGCCCAGCTGTCGTTCACAGGAAGACTAAGGCCGACAGTCAGCCTCCCTGGTAATTACAAAGAAGGTAGATGGCATTTTCTTCCCTTTGCTGGGATGCTAATTAACCTCCTTTCATCAGGTTAATTTTTTCCCATTTAACGTGGACCAACACATCCCGTTAGACCTGCGCCTATCAACTGTCTGCTAATAACCTCTCCAACCCCGATCGGTCTCCTCATCCATTCATTTATTGACAGGCACAATATCAGTCATCTACTGGGGTCCTGTTGTGTTGCTGCCTTCTCTGCATGTGTAATTAGAGGCAAGTTGGCTGTCAGTCACAGGGAGATTTGATGCGCCTGTTGCAGGTCATTTGATTTAGGTCCCCAGCAGTAATGGAGGACAGCAGGAAGGACTATCAGGACAGAATACTAACCAGGAGCCTGAGAGCGTTCCTTTTGACTCAACAGTGCGATCACGCAGGTCATCCGGGTGACAAAAATAAATGGGAATAGATGGAGCAATTAAAGGGAGCTGTAGTGATGCATGGTTATTAAACCCGTTTGAGGTGGTCTGTGTGTTTTTGTGTCTAGATGGTTATGCTACAAGAAGGCAGCAGATGGTGGGGGCTAAGCAGCCTGTTGGTGAGCACCAGACCGATAGGAAAGGTAAAAGAGGCCTGTCCAAAGCTTCTACTCAGGCCCTCTCTGCCAAAACTGCACACTTGAGAGCACCCAGAACAACAAACTGGCTTTTTCATCAGCCTTTCTCTGCAGTAGCCGTGCTCCCTCCACTCCAGTGCTTTTAAATACAGGGTGAAAAGAGTGCAGCAACTGCATGGTTCAAAGGGAGGAGCTGAGAGTTGGGAATTTCCTTTTTCCTCTGGGCCTTTGTTTACTGTTGGGTCGCCTGCTGCGGGGAAACGGCACTAAGACTCGGCTCAGGAGACAAACATCTCCGCTATGCACTAAACAAACTCTCCACGGGTTTACTCTTCCAATCCTGTTTCCATCACCAACACTTTTTTGGTGTGTTTGGGCTCTTTGGCTGGCCAGAAGGAGTTGGTGGCTGCGGGTGGTGACAGCTTGGGTGGGCGCATTGGTTTCCAGGCCGTGTGAGTTTCATATGGCCTTGTGGTTGTCTTGGTTTGTACCGATTGCTCTTTTTCTGTGTTTCAGGTGGCTGGTTGGCCTGGTCGCTGTGGTCGGCCTGTGACGATTCAGGCTTGCAGATGAGGAGTCGGGTGTGTGGGGCTCAGGGCAACATCCCCTGTGTGGGGAACAGCACTCAGCGCAAAAACTGCAATGAAATACCTGGTGAGTCGGTCAGCTCACCGGCCACCTGTACAGTTGGAATCCAGTGCACTACACGTCCACCTTAACATCTGTGTGGATGAAGCTCAAAGCGCATCAGTTTTTTGGTGAAACTGTCATAAATGTATAAATCCAGCCGTGGTGGTGGTGGTGGTGGTGTTGTACTGGACTACAGTATATTCAGAGGTGTCTCAATATTTTTGTCCTCCCCAGCTACATACATGAGAGGGTCAGAATATTAGGAACACCTCTGAATATAATGTAGTCCAGTGCTGCACCACCTTTAACCATGACCTCAGTAATAAACATATAATTGAATTTATACATTTATGACCATTTCACCAAAAAACTGATATGCTTTGAGCTTCATACACACAGATGTTAAGGTGGAAGTGCTGCATTGAAGGGCATACAATTGTACAGATGTACCTAATAAAGTGGCCAGTGATTGTACAATATAACTGTACATCTTCCTTCAAAGTCTTTACAACAGGTCAAGGTCGGCTATTCAAAGGCTCCTCGGGTGCAACGTCCTTTTGTCAGAACTTTGAGGAGACAAGTCGTGTTTCCTTTGTGGCCCTGAATATCCCAAAACACACTGCATGTTCTGCTCTTGGTTTATCACGCTTTCATATGATACATTCAAATAAAAACATGTAAACTTGTATTTTCAGTGAAATGAAAACAGAGTACACAATATGCTTGCAAAAATAGATAGTGTTTCACATCAGTGTTATGCTAGGGACCAGAAAAGGGTTGAGAGTTTAACTTGGTTCAAGTAAAGCTTATAGCTAAATAGTCATTAAAAAAACTTTCACTGGCTCTGACGTAACTGTATTTTGCTAGTTCTCTATCCAATAAACTGTCACAAGTCATCTGTCGTCATCAATATGTAAACCATATCACAGTACAGTACCACCAGTCGTCATCATTCACAAACATGCCTTGTTTGAGTCTACATATGACATCCTCTTTGTGCATTAAACTAGTCTGCTTCTGTTAATAAACCATAATTAAGTCTGTGTGAATCCAACAAGTTAGCTATTGACCCTGTGGGCCTCAGTGCATCTTGTTATGCTGATGATGATATCAGTGTAACACCTCCTCGAATGATCTTTCATGGCCTGATAGCATCAGCCTCTCCACATTCAGAATCCCTACTGAGTCTAGACAAAGTCAATTAGCATTAATGGGTAAGTCACAACACCAAATCACATCTCATTTTATTGCAAATTTCAGTGAGGCAATGGATTGGTTTGTTAAGGTCACTGGCAGAAGGGAGGCAGCTGTAAAGAAGCTGAAGAATTAGGCCCAAAACCTAATCAGGAGATGTGCACTCCAATAAAACTGTTCACACACACACCAACCCTTGATGTTCCCCTCTTTTTTCCTTACTGTGGGATTTGTGGGGTGCAGGACATGTGACTGTAAATTACTGTCCTGCTGTCAAGTGTCTCTAACAGCAACCAGAGAGGTCCAGTCTGACAGAACAGAGCAGTTTTATCACCCAACAGTCCGTTTTTCTTTTGAACCTTCAGGAATTCACTGATGCAAAAAAAAAAAAAAGCCACGTTTGCACAACATTTTAATTTCTCATTCACTGTTTTTGTTTCTGCATGTGTCAAGTCCCCTGATGTTACAGTCTGTGATTGTTGTGTTCTGAAGACTGTTTCTCCAGGGAGAGAGTGTGTGCATGCATGTGTGTGTCTGACCCTGTGTTCCTCTCCTCTCTGCAGTCATTCTTCCTGCATCTGGTTTTGATAAGGACCAACACTGTGGAGGTAAGTGGATTAACAGCTGCCTTCACGTTGTCTCTGTGTGCATGTTTGGGTTTTTTGCCACCGTATGTTTCCACAGATGCCTGTCCATGTTTGTGTTTTCATGCATTTTATGTACATTTTCATGTTCCAGTTTATTTCAGTCCCTGCAAGATTCTAACAGCCAATTAGGACGAGGAGGAAGCGCGGTGTACTGTACGCTGTGATAGAAGTTAAACCTATCAGGTCTCTCACATAGGGCTGGACATCATTCCACAATTTGTACCTTGAGTTTGATACGGTTCCTGAACAATACTTTTTTTCTATTCCAATTTTATAAAATCGGTTTTAACAAAGTGTATACTACAGACATTATACATTTTGGTACAGATCATGAGGTTTATTTTTCAATTCCTTGGCATTTTTGTGCACTCAAAGCAGTTTCATAACATAAAAAGTAAACCTATTAACCACAACCTTAAGTTAATATTAAGATCAAAAAATGAAAATGAAGAAAAGCATTTTTTGATATTGATGATACGTTTTTCAATATGGTATTGAAGTAATTTGATCAATGCCATAAAAATATCTAAGTTCGATACCCAGCACTACTCTCATCTTCATCGCACAGCCAGACAGTAGTTCAGTAAGCTCAGGTTTTGCTGGTGGAGGGAGATAAGGTGGCAAACAGCACTGGCATGAACATAACCAACTGATAATACTGATGAGTACCAGATAATAATGGCTGAGCTGTAAACCTGAATGAATTATTTTGCAAAGGTGTTTCTTTTTTTCACCTAAATTTATTCCTGAGACTGACACTGCAGCGTTTCTGCTAGGGATGTTAGCTATTGAATGAAAGCTGCAGTAACCCTGGGAGGTACAAGAGACTAGGGGTGTGAGAAGACAGTTTTCTAAATATGATACTGTATGAGGGTCCTCAAATAAAACTTCATATTGTCTTCATTTCCCAGCGTTCACCTCCATCCACCTAATTGCCACTGGTGTTTCCTGTTTCCTTGGGGCGGGGCTGCTCTCCTTCCTGATCTATGTGTACTGTCAACGTTTCCACAAGCCTTCACAGGAGTCTGCAGTCATTCACCCCACCACTCCAAACCACCTCAACTACAAGGGCAACACCACGCCAAAGAATGAGAAGTACACGCCCATGGAGTTCAAGGTACATGATCGTCAAAGTACTTTGTTGCTGTATTTTTAAAGCTACTCTGCCCAATTTCTTTACAACATAAATGGTTTAGTGAGACTTGGAAACACACTGGCACCATAAGCTGCTCCTAACCGCTCTCTGCCCCTCCCATCACATCTTGTTTCCTAGCGATGATGTAAACTACGGAAGCCTGGTTGTGGCAAACTGTACAAAATGCAGCCTCCAGTCCGAAGCTAGCATTAGCTGACAAATAGGTAAACTTGTCAATCCAGTAGAATACTCCGGTTACTGCTAATGTGACACAAAGCCAAATTACAATCATATTAATTCAATAAATAAATAAACATATTAGCTTTAGATGCCGACACATCCAGAAAGAAGAACTCCATATCTGAATCAAATCGGAGTCCTTTGGCTGCTGTTAACATTCTCCACCTCACGTTAACCCTGGTTTTTGCTCTTTCTTTGTCTGATTCTCTCTGTGGAAAAGTGTGTGGGTATATGTATGTATGTGTATATATAAATATATATATATAAACACATACACACACTGTTTTTATTCCTTGTGGGGACTCTACATTGCCTTACATTCATTTCCTGTAGACTTACCCTAACCTTAACCATAACCACTACTTGCCTAATCCTAATCCTAACCCTAACCTCATCCTAACCCTAAACCATGTTGCCACCCTAAGTGTCCCCACAGTGTGTGTGTGTTAACAGGTTTTGGTTTTAGTTTGGCACACATACACGGAAGAAAGAAAAAAGGTCAAATAGTCGAATAGTTGCACTGAAGAGCCAACTGTCAAAGGGTACAGCCCGACACCACACCCTGTCCGATTTTTACTAGATTTATCTGTGTGTACAGTCTTAGTTAAGGTACCTTTAGAAAGATCATGGTAATACAAATGGAAAATGAACAATTTACTTGGTTACTACATGCACAAGCACACGCAGTGTAAATGCTGAAAATTCAAGGGCAATGTATGTGATGCATGTTTTATTTAGAGCCTTTATTCATGCATTTATCTCAATAGCATGCAAACCACCAAAGATAAATTACTGTTCATTTATATTCCTCCTTGCTTTTATAAAGAACCTATAAGCTTTAAGCCTGTCTACCTCCTACTGGCCAAGTCCTTATTAATGGGCCCCATTAGCTTTCTAGAGCAGTAGTCGGTACACAACCTCCCACTGCTATCGGACTGCTGTGCATTCACATTTGGAAGTCAAGAAACCATTTTGACCAAAGGTTCATAGACTTTTAGTTCAAGCCTGTGCTCTCTACAACTGCTTTTGATTTGCTCTGTAACTGATCACTAATTATCTCAACTCAGAGAAATTGTTGATTGTTCTTTCTCAGTAAAATGCCTCAAACTATGCTTGTGATAAACAGCTGTAGATAAACAAACTTAAATCTTTGGTTCAGGTCATAAAAGGTCTGAGTTTGATCTTTATCACCAGCTCATTTTTTATCTAAATGGAAGCTCCAGTCAGGCTTTTTCCCCCCAAGTTACAGATTTATTAACCAATGTCAAACAGGACTTAGATGCGTGACTCAGAGACATGAATAAAAAGTTCATGTTTTGTTAAAGGCGCTGCAGGCAAAAGCAGTAAAGGACTAGACAAGGGTGAAGTCACCGGGCTGGCGAGCAGAGGCTGACAAATGAATGCATCGACACTATGGGTCTAATTAAAGATTTGTTCATTTGCATTAAGGGAATTGTACAAACCAGTATTTTTGAAGCTTTACTCATGTTAGGGACCAAAAGTCTGCGCTAAGTTTCTTAATTAAAGAGCCATACTAAAATCGCTGAAGTAACCCTTTAGAGCTGCATTAGCTAAGATTTTACACATGGTCTGATAAATGATGTTAAAATGGGACAGGATGTGGTGTCTCAGCTATACTAACCCCCTCCATGACACTCTGCTGCCTACAGCCTTTCTGTTCCAGCTTCTCTATCTTGTGTTGTCAAAACAGTCTGTAAATTAACTCCATCTGCTGCCTAATTATAAAAACAGTTTTCAAATAGTGAGTAGTCATTTCAAACAGACATGGACGAGCTCTTGGCAGCTAAAAGTCCAAAACAGTGGCTGTCAAAAAGACAAAGAAAGAGCAAACCAGGGTTAATCTGTTTGGCTTTTTGAGATGGAGAATGTTAAGAGCAGCCAAAGGATGCAGATTTGATCCAGATCCGCAGTTCTTCTTTCTGGATGTATTAGCATCTAAAGCTAACGTGTTTGATTTGGTAAACCCTAGCTTTGGGTGGGATGCTGCATTTAGAACGGTTTGTCGCAATCAGTCATCTGCAGTTTACACTGTCGTTATGACACAAGACACGATGCAAAGAGCAGTTTCTCTAGTGGCTGAATAAAACCTAGGCAGAGTCTATTGACCATAGAACTGGTGCAGTACATTCACCTACAGTGTTCCACCTAATCATTATAGACATTTTCAAAGTTCTACTGTTGCTTCATTCATTAAATCTGATCATCTGTGTAAACATACTGCACACATTGCTGGTCGACTACTTTCGAGGCTGGTAGAATACCATTTACAGTCACAGCTTATAAAATAAAATTGGTGTCACTGTGCTTGTAAAATCATCTCATAATATTATAAGTATTGTGCCGTTTTGATGGAAACTAACTGGCCTTCAGTTTATGGATGCTTTAATCAAAAGGAACTTTCTGGATTGCCTCGTCTCATTGCCATCTCCCGTGTTTTTATTTTTTTATTTTATTCTGTTTTTTTTTTTAACCCAGAGCTTTTTCCTATCTGAGCACAGCCTTTGTTTTGACATGAACTAATGCATGCAAGCAGGGATTCATCTTATCCTGACAGTAACCTGACAGTATCTGAGTGCCTACCAAAGCATGGCAGCAACATGATGCCTAACCCCAGTGAACCATTCCTGTATTTTTGATTGCGCCAGCCTCCCGACACTTGTTGTCCTTGCTATTATTATTGTTGCTGTGTGGACACAGTGCTGACAGCTGTCATGGTGTTGAGAGCCTGAACTCATTAGCTTTAATGACCAGAGGGGGAGGCCAGACTCAGCTGGATATGCAGTCGATGTCGGTGTACCGCTACAGCACTGTTTATCCAGCAGGTTCCCTCTCCTCCAGGTCAATTTATGATGCCCAGCATTGTGTATTTCATCATCTCTAACCTGATTATCTTCCTGCCTCGGTCTCGAGGGTTGTTCAGATGGAATACATTAGTCTAATGCTTCCCCCGGAAAGTGTTTCAACTTACGTTCAGCTTTTAGTGAGACTCAGAAATTGCGTTAACATATAATGTGGGTTTTAGACTTGTTTTGAAAAGTGCTGAAGTGAATTCTTGCCATTTCGTATATTAGTGCATTGAGTATGCTTGACATGAACTAAATTCAATTTATCCAATCTGTCTGCTTTGGTTATAAATACAGTTAAAGCGCAAAAGCTATGAGCTCTTGTATTTCATTCATCTGTGGGCAAGAATTACTGTTTTTGTAGCTCTTATAGAAAACACACACAAAAACTTCATTAATTCTATCTATAATTGAATCCTTTTCTGAAAATAACTGAAAACATCTTTCAGGGCAAAAGAATAGTTTTCACTAAAAATCTACTTGTCTAAGGGATTTTCCATAAATTAGTGTCTGTATCTTAGAATGGGCACATTGCTGCACTAAGAAAAAAGAAACTTCATTTTAGAAAATACTAAGGGTGTGTATCCGTCCCTCTGTGCATACATGGTCCACGATTAGATACGAAAACGATATGATACACTGTGATTGAGAATGATTGATTCGATTCAGCAGATATTCAATTTCAGTTTAGCTTTTATTTAAAAGACTATATATATATTAAAGTATCTGTTTAAGGTCAGGGCTCGACGCTAACACTTACTGAAACTGAAAGGCTGCTGCCCGAATGTTTTGTGCACTGATTTGTTAAATTTCTGTTTTAGATATGAACACGTTTGACTCTGCCTGACACCAAAACCTGTCTGGAGACTTACAGTCACTTAGAGCTAGTGTCAAACGTTAGCAGAATCATGTAGGAAACAGAGGTTAAATTGACTACGATGATTTCTAGAAGAGTACATGACAGAAGTATTTGTTTACCTCTATATAAGTTTTGATTATATAATCTAATTTTTATTTGCACATTTCAGTAACAGCTTCTATGATGCTTTTATTCCTGAAGTAGAAAACCATGTCAGACACATCTTTTTATGATGTCACCATGAACCAGATGTTGTTATATTAGGGTTAAAGGTTATTATCCTTATATTGTGTGTACAGCAGAGCAGAGGTCTTGTCACCTAGATTAATTTGTTTCACCTACTCTCTGTGTTACATCATCAGTGTTGCTAAATACTAAACTGAAAAATTGCAGTGCCACAATATTTTGTGACAGGATTAGTCAATATATACCCCTTGGGGTCTCCTAACGTTGGTAACCTAACGGTAATAAGCACATACACTACCAGTCAAAAGCCTGGACACACTTTCTCATTCAATTCAGTGGGAAAATGTATCCAAACCTTTGACTGGTAGTGCATGTACATTTCTCAGAATCTTAAACTATTCCTTTAATAAAGACAGATTTGTGCAGCCTGGCATTAAAATATCAAACAATTACAGAAGCTGCAAGAGTGTAAAGTTTATTTCTCTGCTGTATCATTCCAGACGCTAAACAAGAACAACCTGCTACCAGATGAAAGGTCCAACTTCTATCCACCACCACTCCAGCAAACAAATGTCTACACCACCACCTACTATCCCACAGCACTCGGCAAATACGACTACCAGCCCAACCCCTCCCCTACGTCATGCAGGACCTACAACCACAGCAATAACAGCTGAGACATGCCCCACAACTGGCTCTCAATCCCCCTTCCCTGCTGATCCAAATGGACGCCACCCAATGCCATGGTGACACGTACTGAAACGTTTCTCAGAGCTCGGCCAGTTCCTCTGTTCGCCAATGCCCCACTGCTTGCTTCTACAGTCTCTTCTGCATGTTCGGGTTTGTGCTTTCAAGAGTGCTTCTGGACGTGCCCATCAGGAGATTATGGGTTTGGATGACGACGCCCATATCCTGGTACATGAAGTGTGTTATTGTAAGGACCTGACTGAATACAACAGTGTCAACTCAGAGCTTCTCTCCAAGTGGGGATCCAGTGGAAAACTAGCAGATAATTTTAGATAATTATGACAAGTGCACCTCAGTGCAGGTGCCGAGTCAAGAATCCACAATTGCAAAGATGAGCAACAACAGAACATTACAACAAGAATAAAACAGTACAACAAAAACTGCATTTCTCTGGATCTAGGTCACTATTTTACACCTCGACAGTGCAAACAACTTCCTGAGCCTCTAATCAACTCTGAGCCCCTCGACAACAAAGGCAGAGCAAACAGTATATATTGGAATGTTTGTGCAACACAGCGTAGAGCGAGAGAACAACAGAAACAGAGGACACTCAGCGACGTCGATGATGAAGTAAATTAGAGATCAGTATCAGCTCAGCCGTTTGGGGAAGATGTGTGTCCTTCATTGCTGGCATTTCACATGACAGAAAAGACAAGAACTTTAGAGCTGATTAGTTTTCAGATGACTGTTTGGAAAAGCCTCGACATTAAACATCAACTTGAGTTGGAGAAAAATATTCTCTAAATTTGGTTCTGATCAAAGCTGCGTGCTTTTAGTGGACAAGGATGTTCACTCAAAGTCAGAGCAAAGGAACTGTGGGAAGCAGTCTGAACTGTACATACAGCCTTGGGTGCCTGTATGCAATAGAGGACAGGGGAGAGATTTGTTTTCTATTTCTGAAAGGGAATTGATTGATTCTCCAATTGATTCTCCAATGGATGCATTGATTCTACTGAGTGCTAAATAGCTCGGTGGCCATATCAAATATGGCCAGTGTGCTAAACACCTGGATTTGGTTTTCTATGATGGTAGAATAAGCTAGTAGACTGGCACTTGTTCTTTTTCTTTGGTTTTCAAGATAATTGTTTTATGCTCAGATGAGCCGTAGCATAGGAGGAGATATTTTGTTATATAATATATAGCTGATTAATTCTTGGTTCTTTCACTTCACATTCCTTGCTTTTCATGCAGTTCAGTAACCATTACGTCTTCAGTACATGACATGTTAACACAAAGATAGAACTACACGTTGATACGCTTTTACAAAACATGTAACAAAACATCTATTTGGCCCTGCTTGAAAAGAAAAAGACAAAACTATGGTTGCTTTGCCTGCGTGGATGTGCATACATAACACGTATTCACCATGAATGTCAGGAGTTACTGTATTGTACAGTGTAAATGCTTTCATACACATGACTTAGGTCTATAGAGGTATTTTTGTGCTCCAAACCCCCCACCCCCCCACTGTCACTGACACTCCAGGCATCCTACTTTGTTAAGTTCACGTATGCCATGGTAACCATTGTAAGTGAAAGCATTGCGCCTCTGGGGTGGAACAGATAATATTTATAGTCCAAGCTTGGTTTCTAAAGGGCATTTTCACATCTATATTTTATTATTATTGCCTGATTGATGAATGCTAACCCAGCAATGCTTTTAAGTTCAGCTACTGTACATGCATGAGATAAGAGCTCTATCTGTATATAGGAGTGACAGCCTTCTACAGCCCATTTAATGACCCTAAAGAGGAGTGTGTAAATGAATCTGTATATTGTATAGATAACACTGTTTTAAAAAAAAGCCTTATAGTGGGGGAAAAAAAAAGTTCTGCAGCTAAGTACACACCAACCATGAGGTTTGTTTGGGGACAGAGCTCCACAATGTGACCGACCGCCTGCGGCTGATGACCTTTCCCAGCTGCTCAAACATCAAATTTCCAGAGACACATGAATCCAAACTGGAAATAACTGAGTACAGCACTGATAAGGAGACCGCATCAAATATTAGATAGCAAATAGTCACATATAATGGAACGGTATCTAAGCTAAGCTTCTATTGGCCTGGTCCAAAAGCCAGTCATCTGATTGGTCAATATGGAGCTCTGTCCCCTGCAAAGTGAGGCTCTGTGCCCTTCTATGCAACTTACCAGGTGTACTGTTAGACCTGTCATGTAGACTGTAATCACTGCCTTTTAGACACTGTGAATTTTTTGGTACCCTATATTTTTGTATATTGTACATTATAAAGGATAATAAACCTTGATGCCAACACAAACGTATGGGATCTGTCAGAGTTACAGTTTAAGGAAGGATTTCACATTTTTTAAAGGCTGACATTTGTAATATTCTTAAATTGGATGTGTTGATATAGAATTGACTAATCTGCAGATTCTATTAACAGATTTTTTGGGCCATGACCAGTGTGGTTTTTTTTTTTTTTTACTCATCAGCCACAACCTGAAAAAGCTTCATGGTGAGAAAAAATAAATGACAGTTCCCCTACAGCAGCCTTTAGAAGAAATCTCTCAACTAATAGTTGAAAACTAATAGAAAAAATACAATACAAAAGCTTCATCCAATCAATCAGCCTCTGATACGCACCGGAGCCAATCACCTGACTGTGTGTTTAATGGTCAACCAGCCCATGAAACACACTTAAGAATACAGCTATCACAAACATGAGGGCCTACGATGAGGACACTGTCTCGGTAAAAACAGTTTGTTGACACCTATATCCATCCATAGCACTTGACTGGTACCCAGTAGTGCATCGACCCCCAATCGGTCTTGATAAAGGAATCTGTAGAATGATGAACTATTAAAGTCTTGGTCTTTATGCAAAAGGGAAAAAAATCCAGTTTTGTCCAACAAATCTTTGAAACATGTACACTACCGGTCAGAGGTTTTACAACACCCCCATTTTTCTAGTTTTCTGTTTGAAGCCCAGTGAATAACTGTAAACGGTACAAAGCTAAGAAGAAAACAAGTCTCTTCAGTGAGTAATAGGTTAACTTGCAGCTTTAGTGGAAGTAAATGAAGCCTTGAGCCAACACAGGCAGTGTGGAACGTTGTCACTACTACAAGCATTAAGAAAAGTACAAGATGATCAAATGGCAGCATCGTGTCCAGACCTTCCAGATGAAGAGCGAAAGCAACAGAGAAGCACAACACATTTGTGGGAACTTGTGGAACAGTGCTGTCTATCCCAACAATATGACTTCAACTGTAGAAATGTAGAATGGCAAAGAATTTTAGAAAGTGTGTTCAGCTGCTGAATTACTATATACAACTGGAAGAATGGAGGTGTTGTAAAGGTTTTGACCAGTAGTGATGTATTCCTCTACTGTTATGATAACAAGTGTAGGTGACAGTACTCTCAGCCCTATGGAGAGTTTCTCAGCGTTGAGCAGACAATGCATCAACACATTCAGAACTGAGCATACTCTGTGCTGCTTTGCTAAATTAATTAGCTTAAACCACATCGGCCATGCAATGCTATGTAACAGGACAGCTCCACGATGGAGCCCTGAAGGAAACAGTACTTTTCATTGTTTAGGCTCATCAGGGGAACTGTTAAAGACTGGGTGCCCATGTGCACCCAGTCTTTAACAGGTGGGGTGGGGTCACCCCACCACAAAGATTCAGGGATTTATTCACAATAATAGTACCTGCAGCTTGGCTGTGTGTTCCAACAAACGCAGGTGGCCTGGTTTGTGGTAGAAGCCCATTTGGGATCTTGTCCTTGTTGATGCACGTTCTGGCAAATTGGTGGAATAGTGTGAATCAGCTTCCAGATGAAGCTCATCACTGACAGAAGAAATGACACATGTGGAGGGAGCCCATGAGTCTTAGCCTGCACAGGTCAACAGTAGTTAGTCATGACAGAGGGAAGCAGACAAGTAAAAGCTGCATTAACTGGTGTTTACCACAGATTTGGATAAATCAAGTAAAACAAATTGTCTAGAGGTGTTGTCTCCCTGTTGTCCTAAACCCTACCTCCCACCCCACTCTGCTGTCTTCAGGCCTGGTGTTGTTAAAATCTACACCGCACTTCTTCCACACCCCCGCTGAGCCGAGGTTACAAGATGCATTTTTTCAAACCAGTACGGCTCAAAGATGGACTGTGGAGGCTCCTGGTGCAGGTCCAACCCAGGGTGGGAGCGAACCTATCATACCTGAGAGGCCATGTTCTGTAGCACAGGAAGAGTGTGACAAAGAGGGAAAACCAGGGTTAGCATCACTGAAAACCACAGGCTCTATATTCTGTATACATTAATTCTGGAGCTGGTTACAACTGCTGCGCTACCCGACTGTCACAGCTGCCTCCAGCTGTCCTGACCAGATATGACCTAGTTCCAGTGACAGGGCAGGAGAGGGGATACTGTTTGAGCTGGTTTTGACTCTCACTTTGCCCTTAATGGCAGAAAATTAGAGGTAGAAGTTAGTTAATGCAGCTCTAAGTAAAATGGCATCAACACCCATCTGATTCTCTTTTGCATTCGTAGAAAGAAGCTACCCACCCTGTGGGCTGAAAACAAATCAGCTGGACTAGGTTTCTAAGTCGAAGACGTTTGAGAATCTGCACAGACAAGCTGCCCTGTGTATATCTGATACTACACACCAGGTCAACAGAGCTACGATTTGTGTCAGACGTCACAGAACTGTAACCTCTTCCTTCATTCCCAGAACACGTGACTGCAGCGCTGGAATCTTTCAATGAATGAGAAAAGGGGAGATGGATGGAACAAACAAGCCAAGTAGTCAGGGTGTGTCCAGCAGAGTGCTTGTGGATCACTGCTGGTGCCAGTGGCCTAGACACCGGTACTTTGTCATGACACCACAATGACTGTGCTGCTGTACAGAAAATCAAGATCAAAGATGGAGATCAGCTACCGTCACACAGAAAAGGAAAAGACAGTCAATAAAATCTGATAAAACACTGTGTGTACACTCAGTCTTTAGCCTCCACATAAATAATTGAGTGCACTGTTTGTATTTTATCCTGGAGCAACTATATCGTTGGTTGTCATCCCCTAAAACACACACTCCCCCACAAATTCATATATCCTCACTGTATATGCCCTTCTCTTTTGGTTCAATGCAGCCATAGCTGTACTTCTCAATTAGAGAGAGCTGCCTCTCTGCGGTTTTATTAATGGTCGCAGTGAAAGCATTAATCAGTTGATTTTCTGCTGACGGACAGATGCGATGATCTGCTCTCTGGCAAGTGGCCACAACGAGGTCACTAGGAGGAGGCCACTCAGATAAGATGGTAGAGGAGTCTGGCAGATTTTGGCAGTAAATGAGTGGTTAGGGCACACGCTCACTTTTATAATTCAACCCATGTACAGCAGTGAGGAATGACAATAACAAATTCTGAGCAAAACACCAGCTTCTGCTTTATGTGATCACTGACAAGGGGAGTTTTGTTACAGCGGAGACAGTGACTATGTAAAAACATGAGTCATTGTCCACACACAGAGCACTGCACTGAGGCTCACATTCATCATGAATTATCTTGGAAGTGAGCAGCTACCTGAAAAATCACTGTTTACAAATGTGTTAGCATTTAAGATGTTGGAAGAAATAACCACTAAACAAATTAAACTTGCACTTCAACATGGTGGTGGTGCCAATTTTTTTATTAATGCATGCTTTAATGTAACCACAGTCTTTTTTGAATGGCATTAATTTATTAAATTAGCAATAAACCATCACAAATTACTAACTTTTCTTTGCCAAGTTACAGAAAATCACTTTGGTTGGTGCACATCCTCTAACACAACCTTGTCTTGTTAGCTTGTTTAATTAAAGGTGCAAAAATGACAGCTGCTGAATATCCTGAACAAAATCCATTAATTATAGCTGCAGTAATTGATTTTGTTACCCCTATGTGGCAAAACATTTCCAAATAACACCAACAAACACATAGGGTTGACTTTTTAACATTCTGCAGATGTGTTCAAACCCATTTGTTGTCACATCCAGTAGACAATGTAACAGGTACAACACGTTGAGCTACAGAAACACAAAGCGTCTCCTACATACAGATGGTTGGTAGCTGTACTGCTGCTGGACTAGCGAGTTTCAAAGTGTGTCTCTTACAGTTAGTCAGCTCACAAAGCGTTCAGGATGTCCTGTCTTGGACAATATGTTTTACTGACATGGAGGAAATAAATTCCTGAGACCAGTAAAAATGAGATGAAAGCATTTTTACTACAGAAGAACAAATCAACTGTCAAACAGCCAAGAGCTGCCAGTGTCTGGGATGATAAAGTATTTAAAAAGCCAGAAAACTAATGTGTGTCAAAGAAAACCATTTTGACCATGTGTGTCTAGACATAATCACTTAGTTCTGGTCTCTAACCAACAGACAAGCTATTTGTTTTCCGTTCATTATCGGAGGTGTCTAGTATGGAGGTTAGTACATTAGATTTCAGATCTGAAATCACACATATTACATGATTACTCCATCTGTAGACAAAGCCAACCTCCCCTAACCGAAATCAAGGTTAATTAAAGCGGTACAACCTCAATACATTAGCTGTGCCATGAAAACAAAATAATCAGTGAAAAGAAACCATATATCTGCACACAAGGTGAAACTTTATGCAACTCCTTAGACATTACATGAAATCATTAGATTTAATTAGAAGAAACTCAACACTGGTCTTATTGTTTAGCACTTCGAGCTATGGCTGTAAATACATACTACATATTGCTGTGTAAAGATATTACCACAGACAGATCACATTACTGTCATTGTATGAGAAGTTACTACTGATCTAAATTATGAATAAATGATGTGTAAACTATTATTAAAGTCATCAGTATACCTGTTGACACAGACGTCTGATGAGCAGTGCAGCAGTACCCTGGTGCTGGCCTGACAAAGCTCACACACTAAGAGCGCCCGGCACAGATCACAGTAGCATAATGTGAACATCTGATGTTTATTCTGTGTTAACGTGTCAGTGAGCACAGTGTTTTTAATGTGTGCTGTGCAGCGCCCCAGGAGGCAGCCGGCAGACAGGCATGTCTGTGTTCTTGCACAACAAGACAGGATGGGCAGATCACACGGCGCCTGAAACTGCAGCCAGAAAACGCTCTCATCGTCTTGGTTGTTCTCACCATCATAGCTCTACATCCTCCTCCATGGGAAAACAGAGTAATTGTTTGATATGATTCATCAGCTTAGCATTAATCCACTGGCCATATCTTCTGTGAGTGTGGTCTGGGCAAAGCCTGCCTGAAAGAACTCGGAGGGAATTGGTTGTATTGGAAATGTAATCAA